ACGTACGAGCGACATCCATGACCATGCCAATGCGGCGCTCAGCAATCCCATTTTGCTGTGGTGAGTCCGGAAGGGTGAAGGTCTGGCGGATCCCCCGTGCACGACAGTAGTCCCGCAGAAGGCGAGAAGAGAACTCTCCGCCTCTGTCAGAGTGCAGACGCAGAACAGGAAAGTCCGAGCCGAAGCTCTTCCTGAGCTGGAGACGAGCCTCGCGGATCCAGTCGATCAGCACCTCAGTGACCGCACCCTTGCTGCGCAAGGGGAGGACTGTGGTGTAACGCGAGTAGTCGTCAACCACCAACAGGAAGTAGCGCTCGTAACCCTGCCCACGGACGGGGGCTGGGCCCCACACATCCATGTGAAGCGTCTGCAAGGGAGCCTCTGTCGGGGAGAAGTGGGAGGAGTGAGGAGTAGCCCGGAGGCGACCCTCGACACAGGGGACACAGGAAGGTCCTGGCCCGGAGGGGAGAGGAGGGAGAGACTGGGGAAGACCAGAGACAAGGACACGGGAAGCCATGCTCCGAAGACGGGGCAAGGAGGGGTGGCCAAGACGGTGGTGCCACAGGAGAGTCTCGTGAGACAGGAGGCGACAAGAACAGGGGGCAGACTCAGGACCTGACCGGGACGCAGCAGCAAGTACCTGACCCGACGCAGCCACCTGACCAGACGCAGGGACAGGAGGAGACTCAACGGTCAGGGTGTAGAGACTCGACCCCGGCCGACGCGAGAACGTGGCCAGGTGTCGGCCTGTGCGTGCCTCCGTGCAGTGGGTCACCCGCTGACTCGCAGGAGTGAACTGGTGAACACCCCCATCCTGCAGGTCCGCTCCACTCACCAAGTTCGTGGAGAACGAGGGAAGGTACAGACCCGACAGGGTGCCCGAAGGGGCAGCCGGACACGGGAGGACAGTGGAGAAGTGAGACAGGACAGGACCTCCAGAGGGGTCAGCAAGGGAGACAGCAACCGGCCGGCCGAGCGGCGTAAGGGTAGTGCGGTCGCGAAAGAAGGAGCGAGAAGCTCCGGAGTCAAGTGTGAAAGTGAGGGAGGACGAGGACGACGCAGTACCTGAGAGCGCAGTCTCACCAGTACCTGAGAGCGCAGACGCACTGGCACCTAGAGCAGCAGCCTCACAAGCACCTAGCGCAGCAGTACCAATGCCCGGGTCGGGCCGGAAACAACGGTAACCCTCATTCTCCTCACTATAATCCACAACATACATAGCAGTAAGGATAGCATCAAAATCAAGATCAAAGATCGCTACACCAGCCCTGAGAAGCTCATCCCAGCGAGGGATCTCACTAGCCCCAGGGAACTGCTGACGCCAGGCGTCCGTCAGGCTGCCAAAGCAGCGCTGGGTGGCGTGGGCACCCCCACACTGCTCACCCGCGCGGTCGCCGGAACGAAGAACGTAGGTGCAGGGACCAGTACCCCCACCCCTCTGACGCCCAGCGTACCACTCACGAAGCTGCTGAGGCGAAGGGATGTCCCGCGAGCGCTGCTGCTGCTGCCGGTGCGAGCGCTGGCCACCACCACCACCGCTACGTTGCTGGGTACCACCCCGACCAGCTCCACCTCCTCCACCACCACTGCCTCCTCCGCTGCCGCCTCCACCGCCTCCACCTCCGCCGCCTCCACCTCCGCCGCTGCCTCCACCACCACCGCTGGCTCCACCACCACCGTCTCCGCCGCTGCCGCCACCACCACCACCACCACCTCCGCCACTAGTCCCGCCGCCACCCCCACTCCCTCCGCCGCCACCGCCGCCACCGCCACCGCCCCCTCCAGCTCCACCCGCGCCCTTGCCCCCCTTGCCCTTGCTTGAGCGACGTCTCCCACTAGGGGCAGACGCCGCGCCGACCGACTCAAGACCAAGCAGGTCGGCAGCAGCAGCAGAGGCAACAGAGGGCAGCAAGGGGGAAGGAGAGCACCCCTCAAAGATGGGGGTGCGAGGGTCACCACGAGAAGCACCTACAGCGACTATGCTCTTCTCCGCTGCAAGGAGGGACTTCTCGAGGAGGTCGACGGTGAGGGTGGTGGGACAGACTGCGAGAAAGTGGTCCCTGACTACGCGAAGGGAGTCAGGGAGGCGCGCGACTACGTAGTAGAGAGCGATGTACATGGGGGGGGGGGTTCTTAGCGCAGAACTCAGCAGGAAGGGCGGCGCGGTAGCGAGTGTCACTAGTGCGGAGGTGCGTAATGAGGTCAGCGACAGTGGGAAAGGCAGGGAGGTCAGGAAAGAGGTAGGGAAGCATGAGACGGCTCAGTGCAGCAGTGGCAGGGGAGGAGTAGCGCGCAACTACAGCGTCGTACAAGGTCTGAGCACTCTTGTACTGACTAAAGTGCGCACGCTCAGAGGCAGGGAGGTGGCGACGCACAGCAAGACGTGCAGCAGCATCGCGGGTGGCCCACTTAGAGCGGACAGCGGGATCAGCATCAGCAGCAGGAGCAGGAGAGGCGCCAGAGGTGAGGTCAAAGAGAGAAAGGTCGTCAGCCCTGTCGCACTGTAAGTACAGCTGCAGGTCGTCTAACCAGACCTCAAAATCAATGGCGCGACCCTCAGCGTCAAAAGCTAGGACACTAGGGGTAGCCATGGCGACGACAGCGACGCAGTGCAAGCAGTAGGGAAAGAGCTCGCAGTGGTAGTGGGACTGTGCTCACCAGGCAGGGCAGGTCGAGTAGGGATGCAGAAAGGCGGCTCAGCGACCTGGCAGTTGGGTGCTGGGCGGCTCGGGCGCAGGGCGGCTCGGCTCCCGGGCGGCTCGGCGGCAGGGCAGCTCGGGGGCAGGGCGACTCGGCTCCCGGGCGGCTCGGCGACAGGGCGGCTCGGGCGGCTCGGCGACAGGGCGGCTCGGGTGCAGGGCGGCTCGGCTCCCGGGCGGCTCGGCTTCCGGTAGTAGGGGGGGGGGGGGCCGCGGTCGAGCAGGCGGCCGGGGCCGCGGTAGTAGCTGGCGGCGAGGCCGTGCGAGCAGGCAGCCGGGGCCGCGACAGGAGCGGGCGGCGGGGCCGCGGTCGAACAGGCGGCTGGGGCCGCGGTCGTAGCAGGCGGCCGGGGCCGCGATCGTAGTGGGCGGCGGCCGCGGCGTAGCGGGCGGCAGGGCCGCGTCGAGCAGGCGGCTGGGGGCTGCGTCGAGCAGGCGGCTGGGGGCCGCGACAGGAGCGGGCGGCGGGGCCGCGGTCGAACAGGCGGCTGGGGCCGCGGTCGTAGCAGGCGGCCGGGGCCGCGGTCGTAGCAGGCGGCGGCCGCGGCGTAGCGGGCGGCAGGGCCGCGTCAAGCAGGCGGCTGGGGGCCGCGTCGAGCAGGCGGCTGGGGGGGGGGCCGCGACAGGAGCGGGCGGCGGGGCCGCGGTCGAACAGGCGGCTGGGGGCCGCGGTCGTAGCAGGCGGCCGGGGCCGCGGTCGTAGCAGGCGGCGGCCGCGGCGTAGCGGGCGGCAGGGCCGCGTCGAGCAGGCGGCTGGGGGCCGCGTCGAGCAGGCGGCTGGGGGCCGCGTCGAGCAGGCGGCTGGGGCCGCGTCGAGCAGGCGGCTGGGGGCCGCGTCGAGCAGGCGGCTGGAGCCGCGATCGTAGCGGGCGGCTGGGGCCGCGACTTAGCGGGAGGGAGGCGACACGGAGGGTCGCTCGATAGCGGAAAAAAAAAAGGTTGAGCGCGCCTCGGGGCGCGCTTCGGTGGGCCCTAGGCAGAGTTCCACAGGGAACCCGCTCTATACCATGTGAAATGTGTAAGCAGGAATGAGAATGACTAAGTCAGAGTTGGGTACAAATACAACCCTAGAAAACTGTACCCCATATGTGCTACCCCACTATAGCCTACAAACATGCATCAGCTATGATAATCTGACACCTCCATCAGCAGCAGCAGTAGCACGAGCAGCAGCAGCAGTAGCATGAGCAGCAGCAGCAGTAGTAGCAGCAGGGAGGCTTCGTGGGGCTGGTGAATGAGGCAGGGCGGCGCGGCTCGGGTTGGGCAGGGCGGCTCGGGCTGGGCAGCGCGGCTCGGCCAGGGCGGCGCGGCTCGGCCTAGGTGGTGCGGCTGGGCAAGGCAGGGCGCGCCGCGGGCTGCAGGGCAGGGCGCGCCGCGGGCTGCAGGGCAGGGCGCGCGGTGGACAGGGCAGTAGGGCGCGCGCTGGGCAGGGCAGCAGGGCGCGATGCGCGGGCTGCAGCAGGGCGCGACGCGAGGGCTGCAGTAGGGCGCGACGCGCGGGGCAGCAAGGCGTGACGCGCGGGCTGCAGTAGGACGCGACACGCGGGGCAGCAGGGCGTGACGTGCAGGCTGCAGTAGGGTGCGACGCGCGGGGCAGTAGGGTGCGACTCGCAGGCTGCAGGGCGCGACGGGCAGGACAGTGGGGCGCGCGCTGGGCAGGGCAGCAGGGCGCGACGCGCTGGGCTGCAGGGCAGGGGCTGCTCGCGGGCAGCAGGGGCGCTCGGGGCAGGGGCTGCTCGCAGGCAGCAGTGGCGCGCGTGACAGCAGGGCAGCGCGCTAGGGCCAGCAGGGCAGCGCGCTAGGGCAGGCAGTGCGAGTAGCTGCAGGGCAGCGTGACACTATGCGAGAGGGCCGCAGCGCAAAGGTGCTTCGGGCAGGAACTAGCGGAACGATCGGTGGGCCCTAAAAACCTTACAGGTTTCCTGCTCTGAACACCATGTCAGAATCAACTGGGCAGTTACTAGCGGAAAAATCGCCGCCTAATTTCGCTTACGCCCCGCCCATATTTTTTGAAATTCCTGTTTTCAAGGTTTCGCGAACACTATTTCAAGTTCAAAATGTATGAAAATAATACCATTCTGACACCAGGCTTTAACGAAGTTGGTAGCCACACGCTAGGCTCAATTTTTGTTTGGAACATAAGAAATAATCACACTAACTTGGAAACACAATTTGCTCCCAGTCTGTGAAGATAATGAGCTAATAACAGATCCTGGCCCAAGCAAGCCCATTCCCCGCCTCAGCAAAGCACCCTTCTGGATAATTTCCACGTCACGCCACGTCATTCGCCCTTCCGCCACTATGACGTCGACCCACGCCCCACTAACCCTCCGTGCGCCGCTGGACCGCTCCTCCGCGCCATGCCTGCGCGCATCCCTCGTTCCCGCCACCCGCTCCGCCAAGCCACCTCCAGGCGCCTTCGTGCGACTGGGCGGGAGCCAATTAACGCGTGTGTGTCGCACGTCATCGCACCCCTGCGATCGCACCGTCGTCCGCAGGACTGCGTGTCCCCGCGCAACTGCCACGCGGTCCTCCGCCAATGCCGTGGAGAGCAGAGCGGGCGATAGCGGGCCCGCGGAGGGCGCGGGGGAGCGCGAGTACGACGCGGTAGTGATCGGCGCGGGGATGGGCGGGCTGGTGGCGGCGACGCAGATGGCGGTGCGCGGCATGCGCGTGCTGCTGCTGGAGAAGTACCTCATCCCGGGCGGCAGCTCCGGGTGGTACGAGCGCGACGGGTACACGTTCGACGTGGGGTCGTCCGTCATGTTCGGCTTCGGCGATCAGGTGCGCGGGGGGAGAGGGGGGGGGAGCGGTGGGGTGCGGAGGGGCGGAGGGAAATTCAGGGGCGGGCGGGAAACGGAAAGGAGTGAAGCTTGAGGGAGAGAGGGAGGAGAGAGAAGTTGTGGAGGGAGAGAATGGGAGGGAACGGAGGCGAAATGTGGTGAAGGTTGTGGGGAACGTGGCGAGGCTTTTTTTAGCACAAGGCAGGGTCGGTGAAATGGCGTGACCTGGGTTGGCGAGGCTCACAGACTGCAGAGAATGGGTTGATTCAGACGGCCTACCCTTCCCCACGTTGCTTGCTCGCCCATGCCATGCTGCCAACTCTCCAGCTCTGCACGCATCTGCGTGTGTCTCCAATCCGCCATCCACACACCCCCCTCGGCAACCTCCTCCTCCCCGCTCCCCTCCACCCCTTCCTCTCGCCCTCCTGCTCTCCACTGGACGAGCGCAGGGCAACGTGAATCTGGTGACGCGTGCGCTGGCAGCGGTGGGGCGCAAGCTGCCGCTGCTGGAGGACCCCGTGGCCGTGCACTACCACATGCCCAACGGGCTCAGCGTGCAGGTGGGCTCAGCGTGCAGGTGGGTGGCCGGTCAACATGTGCTGCTCCCCATATGCATGTGACAGGCTCCGTGCTCTACAGGCCGTGTCTGACTGCTGCTGTTCCCCTGCCAGCATCCATGCCCATCCTCCTCTGCAATGGCATGCCATCTCGCTTACGGAGTCTGGAGCTGTTTGCAGCTTCCTCGCACCCTCCTCTCCGCACATGCATCGCACCTGTCTCTTCTCTTCCTCGCGCGGCACCCCCTCAGGTGCACCGTGGCTACGAGCAGTTTCTGGGGGAGCTCATGGCGCGCTTCCCCCATGAGAGGGCCGGCATTCGCCAGTTCTACGATGAGTGCTGGACTGTGAGTGCTGGATTGTGAGTGCTGGACTGGCACATATAGGAACGTACACTGCATGCACAGGAACTTGCATTGCAGACACAGGCACGTGCATTGCACGCACACACACACACACGAGTGCACACGTGCATTGCACACACAGGCACGTGCATTGCACACACACACACACACACACACACACACACACACACACACACACACACACGTGCATTGCACTCACAGGCACGTGCATTGCATTCGTCTCATTCGTCGCCCATTGGTCCATGTCACATTTGAATTCCTTTTGATGCCTCTCGTCCTATGTGATCCACCCAGCTTCAGCATGACATGCCACAAGCTGCCATGTGCTGCCATGTGCTGCCATGTGCTGCCATGTGCTGCCATGTGCTGCCATGTGCTGCCATGTGCTGCCATGTGCTGCCATGTGCTGCCATGTGCTGCCATGTGCTGCCATGTGCTGCCATGTGCTGCCGTGTGCTGCCATGTGCTGCCATGTGCTGCCATGTGCTGTCATGTGCTGCCATGTGCTGCCATGTGCTGTCATGTGCTGCCATGTGCTGCCATGTGCTGTCATGTGCTGCCATGTCGTGGCATGGCAGTGCCCAACACGGCAGAGAAAGGCACTCCATCTGGACCACACCATCACATGCACCGTGCCATCACATGCACCGTGCCATCACATGCACCGTGCCATCACATGCACCGTGCCATCACATGCACCGTGCCATCACATGCACCGTGCCATCACATGCACCGTGCCATCACATGCACCGTGCCATCACATGCACCGTGCCATCACATGCACCGTGCCATCACATGCACCGTGCCATCACATGCACCGTGCCATCACATGCACCGTGCCATCACATGCACCGTGCCATCACATGCACCGTGCCATCACATGCACCGTGCCATCACATGCACCGTGCCATCACATGCACCGTGCCATCACATGCACCGTGCCATCACATGCACCGTGCCATCACATGCACCGTGCCATCACATGCACCGTGCCATCACATGCACCGTGCCATCACATGCACCGTGCCATCACATGCACCGTGCCATCACATGCACCGTGCCATCACATGCACCGTGCCATCACATGCACCGTGCCATCACATGCACCGTGCCATCACATGCACCGTGCCATCACATGCACCGTGCCATCACATGCACCGTGCCATCACATGCACCGTGCCATCACATGCACCGTGCCATCACATGCACCGTGCCATCACATGCACCGTGCCATCACATGCACCGTGCCATCACATGCACCGTGCCATCACATGCACCGTGCCATCACATGCACCGTGCCATCACATGCACCGTGCCATCACATGCACCGTGCCATCACATGCACCGTGCCATCACATGCACCGTGCCATCACATGCACCGTGCCATCACATGCACCGTGCCATCACATGCACCGTGCCATCACATGCACCGTGCCATCACATGCACCGTGCCATCACATGCACCGTGCCATCACATGCACCGTGCCATCACATGCACCGTGCCATCACATGCACCGTGCCATTCACATGCACCGTGCCATCACATGCACCGTGCCATTCCATGCACCGTGCCATTCCATGCACCGTGCCATTCCATGCACCGTGCCATTCCATGCACTGTCCTCTCATATCATAACGCCTACAGAGTCTCCAAGCGTATGTGGTTTCCTCCCACCCCTCTCTCATCTCATCCCCTTCCCTCCCTCCCCCTCCTTCACCCCACCACCCCGACCCCCACCATCCCCTCCCCACCGCAGGTGTTCAACGCGCTGAACGCGTTGGAGCTGCAGTCGCTGGAGGAGCCGCTCTATCTGCTCGGCCAGTTCTTCCGCAACCCGCTCGCGTGCCTCACCCTCGGTGCGTCCCTCCTTGCACCGCGCCACTCCGTGCTGCTTTGCCTCCTTCCCCCGCCTCGCTCCACCTGCTCCCACTGGCGCCCCACACAGCATGGCAGCGCTGCACTGCCACTCTCCACCACGCTGCTGCTGCTCTGCACTGCATGGCTGTGCCTCGCCGCACCACTCCACCCATCAATCCCTTCCCTTCCACCATGGCTTTTTGAAAGCACACCCCACTACTCGCCAACCACCTCTGCTGCCCCCATCTTCCCCCCACCCCTCCAGCGTACTACCTACCACAGAACGCGGGCGACATAGCACGCAAGTACATCACTGATGCCGACCTGCTCGCCTTCATCGATGCCGAGGTGCCGCCCCTCCCGCACACCGCTGCTGCTCATATCGCCCCTCTGACAACTCCCTCATTTTGCTGCTCTCCACAACCTGCTCTCCACAACCTCCTCTCCTCATTTCTCTCAGCTTGTCCCCCTGGCTTTCGCTATTACTCCCACCATCGGGTTGTGTCACTGCTGAACGGCCATATCCCCTACTGCATCACCTGCTCCCTTCCATCGCTGTCTGTGTCTGATGCGTGGCTAAAGCTCTGTATCAACAGCTCTCGGTAGCGTCTCCCCTGTGTCCCCCCCTCCCTGTGTCCCCCCCTCCCTGTGTCCCCCCCTCCCTGTGTCCCCCCCTCCCTGTGTCCCCCCCTCCCTGTGTCTTCCCTTGCGTTCCCTCCCATTCCCTTTCATCTCTCCGTCGCTCCTCTCGTCCCTCGGCACCAACTCGCTGTGGCGGGCGGCAGTGCTTCATAGTGAGCACAGTGAATGCCGCCAACACGCCCATGATCAACGCTGCCATGGTGAGCTGCTCGCCATGCCATGCTGTCCGCAGCAATGCATGCCATAGTGATTGGGGCATGTAGTAACCCTCACAAGGATATTCTTACCCTCATCCCCCTTCCCCACTCGACCCTCACCCGTGCCCCAATCGCCCCTCACCCCTTCCTTAGGACGCAATCGATCGTGCCCCGCGATCGATCGCAGATCGACCGTGCTGGTAATCAGCATGACGTCAGCGTACAGTAGTGCTACAGTATGCCAGTGTATCATCTCGACTTCATTGAAGCAGAGGTGGACGGTGTGCCTGAATTGTGCAATCGATTCACAGTACAAGTGATCCCCCCAGCCCATGCGCGATGTGAGCCTACCAGGCACGATCACTTGTGGGTAGGCGAAAGGCACGATTTCGTGAGAGAAACAGGCGCGAATTGGAATTGTGGGAAGGCAATCTCGCTAGCCTGGTTACGAGGTGTGTGGAGAAGCTTTGTCACGAGTGCCTTGACTACCCTGCTTGTACAGGCCGCTTTGGGGGAAATCCTGCAGTGCCACGTGTGTTACGAGATGCGCGTTTGTCCAGTATTGCAAATTCAGAAACTCGATTGTGTGTAGGATCGGAGGAAATGGTAACGCGTCCTTAACTGGCTTCCATGTGAGCCCCTGCCCCCTGACCACCTGCCATGCGCCCATGCCGTGTGCCTGTGCGTGGCAGGTGCTGTGCGACCGGCACTACGGCGGCATCAACTATCCGCGGGGCGGCGTGGGGCGCATCGCACAGGAGCTGGTGGCGGGGCTGCAGGAGCGCGGGGGGGAGGTGTGGTACAAGGCCAACGTCACCCAGCTGCTCTTCGACCACCACGGCCGTGCCGTGAGTGCTGGCTTGGCGTCGTGTGTGGTGTGGAAGAGAGGAAGGAAGGCGACTATACTAGCTGCCTGCACTGCAGCGGGAGCAACCACTTGTGTCACGCTGCTTGCTGCAGCCAGCGCTGGAAGGGAAACACCGCTCTCAGATTCTGTCGGGCACCTACAGCAACCCGCCCTGCTGCTCCTACCATGTCCTTACCTCGCCCCAATGAATCGCCAACAGTCACCTCCCATCATGTACATCATCATCATCCGTCCCATCATTTATCTTGACATTTCCCGTCTGGCTCCTCCCCTTGTCCTCCTGGCACGGACCGGCAGGCGGGTGTGAAGCTGAGTGACGGGCGCACAGTGAGGGCCAAGACCGTTGTCTCCAACGCCACCCGATGGGACACCTTCGGTACACAAACTGCTCTTTCCCTCCTCTCGAGTCTTGCCCTCCTCTCTCACCCTCCCCCTGCCCTCCTCTCACCCTCCTCTCGCCCTCCTCTCACCCTCCTCTTGCCCTCCTCTCTCGCACCCTCTTTTCGCCCTCCTTTCCTCCTCCCCTCGTTCACCCTCCTTCGGCACTGTTCTGTTCTCACCCCCTTTCACCATCCTTTCACTTTCCTCTTCACTCTCCCCTTCCACCTTGCATGGCGGCACCGCTGCTGCCAGCTGCCTTGAAGCCCCTGTCTCGTGCCTTTCAGGGGCCTGGCGTCAAACCCTCAAACCCTGTCACCCGCTGCAGTCACCCGCTGCAGTCACACGCTGCAGTCACCCGCTGCAGTCACCCGCTGCAGTCACCCGCTGCAGTCACCCGCTGCAGTCACCCGCTGCAGTCACCCGCTGCAGTCACCCGCTGCAGTCACCCGCTGCAGTCACCCGATGCAGTCACCCGCTGCAGTCACACGCTGCAGTCACCCGCTGCAGTCACCCGCTGCAGTCACACGCTGCAGTCACCCGCTGCAGTCACCCGATGCAGTCCCCCGCTGCAGTCACACGCTGCAGTCACCCGCTGCAGTCACCCGCTGCAGTCACACGCTGCAGTCACCCGCTGCAGTCACCCGCTGCAGTCACCCGCTGCAGTCACCCGCTGCAGTCACCCGCTGCAGTCACCCGCTGCAGTCACCCGCTGCAGTCACCCGATGCAGTCACCCGCTGCAGTCACCCGCTGCAGTCACCCGCTGCAGTCACACGCTGCAGTCACCCGCTGCAGTCACCCGCTGCAGTCACCCACTGCAGTCACCCGCTGCAGTCACACGCTCCAGTCACCCGCTGCAGTCACCCGCTGCAGTCACCCGCTGCAGTCACCCGCTGCAGTCACCCGCTGCAGTCACACGCTGCAGTCACCCGCTGCAGTCACCCGCTGCAGTCACCCGCTGCAGTCACCCGCTGCAGTCACACGCTGCAGTCACACGCTGCAGTCACCCGCTGCAGTCACCCGCTGCAGTCACCCGCTGCAGTCACACGCTGCAGTCACCCGCTGCAGTCACCCGCTGCAGTCACACGCTGCAGTCACCCGCTGCAGTCACACGCTGCAGTCACCCGCTGCAGTCACACGCTGCAGTCACCCGCTGCAGTCACCCGCTGCAGTCACACGCTGCAGTCACCCGCTGCAGTCACCCGCTGCAGTCACACGCTGCAGTCACCCGCTGCAGTCACCCGCTGCAGTCACCCGCTGCAGTCACACGCTGCAGTCACCCGCTGCAGTCACCCGCTGCAGTCACCCGCTGCAGTCACCCGCTGCAGTCACCCGCTGCAGTCACCCGCTGCAGTCACCCGCTGCAGTCACCGCTGCAGTCACCCGCTGCAGTCACCCGCTGCAGTCACCCGCTGCAGTCACCCGCTGCAGTCACCCGCTGCAGTCACCCGCTGCAGTCACCCGCTGCAGTCACCCGCTGCAGTCACACGCTGCAGTCACCCGCTGCAGTCACCCGCTGCAGTCACCCGCTGCAGTCACCCGCTGCAGTCACCCGCTGCAGTCACCCGCTGCAGTCACCCGCTGCAGTCACCCGCTGCAGTCACCCGATGCAGTCACCCGCTGCAGTCACACGCTGCAGTCACCCGCTGCAGTCACCCGCTGCAGTCACACGCTGCAGTCACCCGCTGCAGTCACCCGCTGCAGTCACCCGCTGCAGTCACCCGCTGCAGTCACCCGCTGCAGTCACCCGCTGCAGTCACCCGCTGCAGTCACCCGCTGCAGTCACCCGCTGCAGTCACCCGCTGCAGTCACCCGCTGCAGTCACCCGCTGCAGTCACCCGCTGCAGTCACCCGCTGCAGTCACACGCTGCAGTCACCCGCTGCAGTCACCCGCTGCAGTCACCCGCTGCAGTCACCCGCTGCAGTCACACGCTGAAGTCACCCGCTGCAGTCACCCGCTGCAGTCACCCGCTGCAGTCACCCGCTGCAGTCACCCGCTGCAGTCACCCGCTGCAGTCACCCGCTACAGTCACACGCTGCAGTCACCCGCTGCAATCACCCGCTGCAGTCACCCGCTGCAGTCACACGCTGCAGTCACCCGCTGCAGTCACCCGCTGCAGTCACCCGCTGCAGTCACCCCCTGCAGTCACCCGCTGCAGTCACCCGCTGCAGTCACACGCTGCAGTCACCCGCTGCAGTCACCCGCTGCAGTCACCCACTGCAGTCACCCGCTGCAGTCACACGCTCCAGTCACCCGCTGCAGTCACCCGCTGCAGTCACCCGCTGCAGTCACCCGCTGCAGTCACCCGCTGCAGTCACACGCTGCAGTCACCCGCTGCAGTCACCCGCTGCAGTCACCCGCTGCAGTCACCCGCTGCAGTCACACGCTGCAGTCACACGCTGCAGTCACCCGCTGCAGTCACCCGCTGCAGTCACCCGCTACAGTCACACGCTGCAGTCACCCGCTGCAGTCACCCGCTGCAGTCACACGCTGCAGTCACCCGCTGCAGTCACACGCTGCAGTCACCCGCTGCAGTCACACGCTGCAGTCACCCGCTGCAGTCACCCGCTGCAGTCACCCGCTGCAGTCACCCGCTGCAGTCACCCGCTGCAGTCACCCGCTGCAGTCACCCGCTGCAGTCACCCGCTGCAGTCACCCGCTGCAGTCACCCGCTGCAGTCACCCGCTGCAGTCACCCGCTGCAGTCACCCGCTGCAGTCACACGCTGCAGTCACCCGCTGCAGTCACCCGCTGCAGTCACCCGCTGCAGTCACCCGCTGCAGTCACCCGCTGCAGTCACCCGCTGCAGTCACCCGCTGCAGTCACCCGCTGCAGTCACCCGCTGCAGTCACCCGCTGCAGTCACCCGCTGCAGTCACCCGCTGCAGTCACCCGCTGCAGTCACCCGCTGCAGTCACCCGCTGCAGTCACACGCTGAAGTCACCCGCTGCAGTCACCCGCTGCAGTCACCCGCTGCAGTCACCCGCTGCAGTCACCCGCTGCAGTCACCCGCTGCAGTCACCCGCTACAGTCACACGCTGCAGTCACCCGCTGCAGTCACCCGCTGCAGTCACCCGCTGCAGTCACACGCTGCAGTCACCCGCTGCAGTCACCCGCTGCAGTCACCCGCTGCAGTCACCCGCTGCAGTCACCCCCTGCAGTCACCCGCTGCAGTCACCCGCTGCAGTCACACGCTGCAGTCACCCGCTGCAGTCACCCGCTGCAGTCACCCGCTGCAGTCACCCGCTGCAGTCACACGCTCCAGTCACCCGCTGCAGTCACCCGCTGGAGTCACCCGCTGCAGTCACCCGCTGCAGTCACCCGCTGCAGTCACACGCTGCAGTCACCCGCTGCAGTCACCCGCTGCAGTCACCCGCTGCAGTCACCCGCTGCAGTCACCCGCTGCAGTCACACGCTGCAGTCACACGCTGCAGTCACCCGCTGCAGTCACCCGCTGCAGTCACCCGCTACAGTCACACGCTGCAGTCACCCGCTGCAGTCACCCGCTGCAGTCACACGCTGCAGTCACCCGCTGCAGTCACCCGCTGCAGTCACCCGCTGCAGTCACCCGCTGCAGTCACACGCTGCAGTCACACGCTGCAGTCACCCGCTGCAGTCACCCGCTGCAGTCACCCGCTACAGTCACACGCTGCAGTCACCCGCTACAGTCACACGCTGCAGTCACCCGCTGCAGTCACACGCTGCAGTCACACGCTGCAGTCACCTGCTGCAGTCACCCGCTGCAGTCACCCGCTACAGTCACACGCTGCAGTCACCCGCTGCAGTCACCCGCTGCAGTCACCCGCTGCAGTCACCCGCTGCAGTCACACGCTCCAGTCACCCGCTGCAGTCACCCGCTGCAGTCACCCGCTGCAGTCACCCGCTGCAGTCACCCGCTGCAGTCACCCGCTGCAGTCACCCGCTACAGTCACACGCTGCAGTCACCCGCTGCAGTCACCCGCTGCAGTCACCCGCTGCAGTCACCCGCTGCAGTCATCCGCTGCAGTCACCCGCTGCAGTCACCCGCTGCAGTCACCCGCTGCAGTCACACGCTGCAGTCACCCGCTGCAGTCACCCGCTGCAGTCACCCGCTGCAGTCACCCGCTGCAGTCACCCGCTGCAGTCACCCACTGCAGTCACACGCTGCAGTCACCCGCTGCAGTCACCCGCTGCAGTCACCCGCTGCAGTCACCCGCTGCAGTCACCCGCTGCAGTCACCCGCTGCAGTCACCCGCTGCAGTCACCCGCTGCAGTCACCCGCTGAAGTCACCCGCTGCAGTCACCCGCTGCAGTCACCCGCTGCAGTCACCCGCTGCAGTCACCCGCTGCAGTCACCCGCTGCAGTCACACGCTGCAGTCACCCGCTGCAGTCACCCGCTGCAGTCACCCGCTGCAGTCACCCGCTGCAGTCACCCGCTGCAGTCACCCACTGCAGTCACCCGCTGCAGTCACCCGCTGCAGTCACCCGCTGCAGTCACCCGCTGCAGTCACCCGCTGCAGTCACCCGCTGCAGTCACCCGCTGCAGTCACCCACTGCAGTCACCCGCTGCAGTCACCCGCTGCAGTCACCCGCTGCAGTCACCCGCTGCAGTCACACGCTGCAGTCACACGCTGCAGTCACCCGCTGCAGTCACCCGCTGCAGTCACCCGCTACAGTCACACGCTGCAGTCACCCGCTACAGTCACACGCTGCAGTCACCCGCTGCAGTCACACGCTGCAGTCACACGCTGCAGTCACCTGCTGCAGTCACCCGCTGCAGTCACCCGCTACAGTCACACGCTGCAGTCACCCGCTGCAGTCACCCGCTGCAGTCACCCGCTGCAGTCACCCGCTGCAGTCACACGCTCCAGTCACCCGCTGCAGTCACCCGCTGCAGTCACCCGCTGCAGTCACCCGCTGCAGTCACCCGCTGCAGTCACCCGCTGCAGTCACCCGCTGCAGTCACCCGCTGCAGTCACCCGCTGCAGTCACCCGCTGCAGTCACCCGCTGCAGTCACCCGCTGCAGTCACCCGCTGCAGTCACCCGCTGCAGTCACCCGCTGCAGTCACCCGCTGCAGTCACCCGCTGCAGTCACCCGCTGCAGTCACCCGCTGCAGTCACCCGCTGCAGTCACCCGCTGCAGTCACCCGCTGCAGTCACCCACTGCAGTCACACGCTGCAGTCACCCGCTGCAGTCACCCGCTGCAGTCACCCGCTGCAGTCACCCGCTGCAGTCACCCGCTGCAGTCACCCGCTGCAGTCACCCGCTGCAGTCACCCGCTGCAGTCACCCGCTGCAGTCACCCGCTGCAGTCACCCGCTGCAGTCACCCGCTGCAGTCACCCGCTGCAGTCACCCGCTGCAGTCACCCGCTGCAGTCACCCGCTGCAGTCACCCGCTGCAGTCACCCGCTGCAGTCACACGCTGCAGTCACCCGCTGCAGTCACACGCTGCAGTCACACGCTGCAGTCACCCGCTGCAGTCACCCGCTGCAGTCACCCGCTGCAGTCACCCGCTGCAGTCACCCGCTGCAGTCACCCGCTGCAGTCACCCGCTGCAGTCACCCGCCACCCATCGTTGCAATTTCTCTCATCCACCCCTCTCCCGTACACCACTCCCCCCTCATCTCCCCACCCACACCCCCCCCCCCTCCCCCCTCGGGGCGGGCAGGCAAGCTGGTACCGGAGGAGCGCATGCCGGAGGAGGAGAGGCAGTTCCAGCAGCGGTACCGCCAGGCACCGTCGTTCCTCTCCATGCACCTCGGTGTCAAGGCTGACGCGCTGCCGCCCGGCACTGAGTGCCACCACCTTGTGCTCGAGGTCAGTGCCTCCGTGTGTGAGCATTTGAGCAACCCTAAACCCGAAACCCGGAATTGATGTGTGCACCACCTGTTTCATGCCTCACAATCTGTCTCTCTATGTTCCTGTGTTTCGTGCCCATGCGTGGTGCGTGTGGTGTGAGTGCAGAGCGAGTGGGGGCGCATGGAGGAGCCGTATGAGAGCATCTTCCTCAGCATCCCCACTGTAAGCCGTACCGTACACACAGCTGCAATGGGGATTTCTCATCATGTGGTGCTTTTGTTTGATAAGGTTCGAGTTGATCAAACTTTTACCTGGTATGTGAGATGCCCTATTCCACTCTGCACTCCTCTGTAACCGGTACTTTAATACCAACCTCGTCAACCTCTGCTTGCCTCGTTCTGCCAACCTCCTTCCGCCGCGCCCCCCTGCCGCGCCCCCCTGCCTCACCCCCCTGCCTCACCCCCCTGCCTCACCCCCCTGCCTCACCCCCCTGGCTTGCCTGTCAGGTGCTGGACCCGTCGCTGGCACCAGCTGGGCGGCACATTCTGCACGTCTTCACCACCGCATGGATGCACGACTGGCAGGTGGGGCACGCATTGCCGCTTCTAACTTCGCGTATCCTTCACTGCTGTGGGCTGCCTTCACCACTGCTGTCGACACAACAGTACAATGCGAGTCCATCATTCAAACATCCCCGTGCATGCAACGTGCACGGCACGGCACGGTGTGTGGCAGGGCATGAGCACGGAGGAGTACAGCGCCAAGAAGCACCACGTGGCATCGCAGATCATTGCTCGCCTCGAGAAGACGCTCTTTCCCGGCCTCGCCAATGCCATCGAGCTCATGGATGTCAGTTGACTTGGTTCAAGTGTATTGAATCGATTGGAATGAGTTCAACTTCCATGAGTGGCTGGGGCTGAAGTGAGCTGACTGAATTCAATCTCTTTCATCCATCCGTCAGCATCCCTCTCTCCCTCCACTCTCACTCTCTTATTTTTCCACCACAACCACCCTTCCCTAACCCCATCCCTTCCTGGTCCCTACTTCCTCCTCAACCCCACACCCATACGGCAGGTGGGCACGCCGCGCACGCACCGGCGCTTCTTGAACCGCGTGGACGGCACGTACGGCCCCATCCCCGCGCGCCGCCCACTGGGGCTGCTCGGCATGCCCTTCAACACCACGGTGCTTTCCCACGTCCACCCTTTGGCGCGCGTGCCTCGTCCTTTGATGACCTATTGTTATTACAATTCATGATAGCGTTGCGGGTGGAAGAAATTTTGTGCGAAAGGCTCAAGTGGGATGAAGGAGTGGAGAGGAAAGTGGGTTAAATCGTTGCACATACATCAGTCTCTCTTGCTTGTGTTCCCTCCTACCACCCCTCCCCTCTACAGCAAGTGCCGGGGCTGTACTGTGTGGGCGACAGCTGCTTCCCCGGGCAGGGAGTCATCGCGGTAGCCTTCTCCGGCATCATGTGCGCCCACCGCGTCGCCGCTGACCTTGGTGAGTGCGGAGCCTCGGTGAGTGCCACGCCTGGGTGGGTGCCACGTATGGGGAAGTGCCGAACCTGGGTGAGTGCCTAACCTGGGTGAGTGCCACACCTGGGTGCATGCCTGACCTGGGTGGCTGTCGAGGTAGATTTAGATTATGGGGATCAGGTGAGTATGAGCCATGGGAGATATGAGAATTGGACTGTTTGTCGAGACACAGCTATACAAGTCTCTCCACTCACTTCTGCCAGGGGATGGATCGGAACCAAGGCACGGTCAACTCCTGCCCCTCGATGCTGCTGGGAGCACGCCTTGCAAGGCACTCATCGTTCCCTTTCACCTTCATATCCTCTCTTTGTTTTCCCGACTGCCCACCCACAGGCTATGAGAAGCGTAATCAGGCACTGGATACTGGACTTTCTAAGTTGCTTGCGTGGTTCCGCACCCTTGCATGAATGTGCACGTGATTTTGACGACTAATGTATCGCAATGGCTTATCCTATGCAACTCTTTTAAGCTACAGTGTTTTGCATGGATTTTTCAACAGCCTCACACTACAATTTTGAATTGTTCTTTTATTCAGAAGGTGGGACTTCCGCCATATTATACCGTCACCCCCCGGATAAGCCCCCATGGGGGGGGTATAATAAAACATGTTTTTGTAGGGGGGTGGGCTTATAATCGAGGATTTTTATAAGCGCCGGTGGCTTATATAATTCTTAAACTAGGCTAGGAGAGAAGTATCGAAAGTGTTATTCGAGCAGTGAGGGGCAAGGGATACAAGTGTCGACCTAAAGTGTTGTACCCTTTAGAGGGCAACTCACTGTAGCCTAGACTAACAATATAAAGAATATATAACATTTGACACACCCCCATAGGCTAAGTGAGGGGCATCAAAGCAAGCAAGGTGAGCACACGGTCACAAGACCAGTCAACGCAAGAAACAAGGCAAGCTCAGGGTGGATCTCAAGGATACCACACAAATTCCGAGCACATGCAAGTGGCCACAAGGCAAGTTCAAGAGTTCACTAGAATATAAATAGGAAACACAAACAAGCAGAGCAAGCAACAGGACTACAGCAACCGAGGGCCAACCTCAACAAGCCCCAACTGCACACAGAACCTGTGGTGGTCACCAAGCGCTAAGGCCTTGGTGAAAACGTCTGCAGTGTTGGCCTCTGAGGCCACAAAGTCCAGGCGAGCCTGGCCGCGTCGCTGCAGCTCTCGCAGGAGGAAGTACCTCACGTCAATGTGCTTCACTCTGCTCTCCAGTCGAGGCTCTCGACACAGGAGGATCATGGCCTTGTTGTCAGCGTACAAGGTCGGTGCAGAGCGAGGCCGCTCACCAAGGTCGGCAAGCAAGAAGGTCAACCAGCGAAGCTCCTGTGCCGCCATGGCACCAGCGTAGATCTCTGCCTCTGCGCTGGAAGTAGCCACAGACGACGACCGTGTAGACCTCCACGACACAGCACCAGCTCCCAGGCTGAAGCAGTAACCCTGAGTCGAGCGCTGAGTCTCCACGTCGTCAGCGTAGGAAGAGTCGCAGTGACCAGTCAACACCACTGGCTGAGTCCCTCCAAGCACAAGCCCCATGCCTGATGTAGTCGCCAGGTACTTCGCCACCCTCACAGCTGCTGTCCAGTGGACAGGACGGTGTCTCCCAGTCGCAACAAAGCGAGAAAGGATGCTGAGGGGAAAGGCGAGGTCCGGCCGAGTACAAGTCATCAGGTACATGAGGCAGCCCACCAGCTCTGCGTAGGGACCACTGGACTCAAAAGGCTCGTCGGGAAAGGGGCCAGTGAGTCTGTGGTCAACAGCAAGAGGAGTGGGCTGTGTGGTGGAGAACTGGAAGTCGAACCGCCGAAGGACCTGCTGCACCATGTGTGACTGCGACAGTGTGATGGTGCGAGCGGCTCTGTCCCGGGTAATCTGCAAGCCAAGGTAACGCTGCAGCTCACCCAGGTCAGTGCACTTGTGTCTCTTCTGCAGTTCGGACTTCACCTGAGCCAGGGCTGCCCTGTCTGCTGTAGCAAACACCAAGTCGTCGACGTAGACAAGGATAAAGAAGGGAGAAGAACCCCCTCGAACAAACAGCGACGGGTCGGCGGAGGACGGGCTGAACCCAAGGTCACGAAGCGTGGAGCGAAGAGTGTCGTGCCACTCACGGGGCGACTGGGGGAGACCGTAGACTGGTCGCCTCAGGCTCCACTGGGTCCCAGGTGGGAAGGTGTCAGTGAAGCCAGGAGGACGGCGCAGCCAGATCTCCTCGTGCAGTCGGCCCTGGAGGAACGCAGTGGAGAAGTCGAGGGAGTGCAGCTCGTAGTCTCGCTGCGCTGCTATGTGGAGTAACACCCGAAGAGTAGTCATCTTCGGGGTCGGGGCGAAGGTTTGGAAGAAGTCAACTCCCTCACGCTGACTGAAGCCCCTAGCCACGTAGCGCGCCTTGAACACCGGCGGTGCTCCAGGCGGCCGCTTCACCTTGAAGAGCCACATGCCATCGACTACGTTCGCCCTGGGAGGGGGAACTGCGTCGACGTAGGTGCCTGTGGATCTCCAAGACGCCAACTCTGAGTCCATAGCCGCTTTCCACTGAGAGGCCCACGCCCCTGACACTGCCTCGCGGTAAGTGCGAGGAGTCGGTATGTCAAGGGCGTCGGGGTCTCCCTCAGGGGAGAGCAGCATGGCACACACAGAGGGAGAAGCGGCTGCCCAGTACTCCAGCTCAGACTCTCTGTCCTCTAGGACGTCACAGCCAAGGGCAAACTCACCCCCGACGGACAGAGGACGGTAGGGAGGAGCTGGCACCACACGGGTGGCGTAGTCAAGGCGGCTGGCGGCAGCAAACTCAGCGACAGCGGCAGTGAGAGCAGAGACCGACGACGGAGGGAAACGAGAGTCGGTGACAAGAGTGGCAAGGACACGTGCGGCAACAGGACGAACAGTGCGGTAGTAGTCAGTGATAGGAGTGGGGAGGGTTGGGAGAGAGGACGGAGAAGGAGACGGGAGAACGGACACAGGAGAAGGAGAACGACGACGAGACGTACAAAGGAGGGCAGTGTGGAGGTCAGTAACAGGGGACGAGTGACGAGCACGCGGAGGACAACGAGTGACCAAGTCGCGACGGACCGAAGGAGGAGGAGACTGGGGAGGAGTAGAAGACCAGATTGCCGGACGATCGTCAGGAGGAGGCAACGGAGGAACAAACACAGGAGGAGACTGGGGGCGGACAGGAAGAGAGGAGGAAAGGCCAAGGGCCCGCAGGCCACTCACAGGTGGGAACAACTGCCGCTCCAGAGGAAGTTGCGGTGGCGGCGGCGGCTGCTGCTGCGGCGTCGGCGGCTGCGGCTGCTGCTGCTGCGGCTGCTGCGGCGGCTGCTGCTGCTGCTGCTGCTGCTGCTGCTGCTGCTGCTGCTGCTGCTGCTGATGCTGCTGCTGCTGCTGCTGCTGCTGCTGCTGCTGCTGCTGCTGCTGCTGCTGCTGCTGCCGCTGCTGCTCCAGAAGTTCTAGTACCCGCAGCTCCTGCCGCTCCCTCTCCAACCGCTCCTGCTCCTCACGCTCACGCCGGCGGGCAGCCTGGAGACGTGTGTCGTGGCGGTGGGGAGGCGGAGTGGACTCCGCAGAACCAGGGTCAGGCTCCTCAGACTCAGCACCCCCAGAACCAGCACCTCCAGTGCCAAGACCTCCAACTCCAGCACCCCCAGAACTAGCACCACCAGTGCCAGCACCTCCAGCTCCAGCACCCCCAGAGCTAGCGCCACCTGCGCCAGCACCTCCCGCTCCAGCACCCCCAGAGCTAGCGCCACCTGGGCCCGCACCTCCCGCTCCAGCACCCCGCGACCGAGTACCCCCAGACCGAGCACCGCCAGCGGCTGCACCTCCAGCTCCAACACCAACCGAGTCCACAGTAACCTGTCGCGGAAGTGCCGAAGGCTGCTGAGGGGACTGTGAGGAGGACTGTGGGGAGGGAGCCGCTACCTGACGCGCGACCGAGGGTAGAGGGGTAACGTGGGACACACCAGACGGGGCAGGACCAGGGGGGGGCGGGGGTACCGGAGGGGCGAGAGCAGGAGGAGGAGAGGGTGCGAGGAAAAGAGGGGGAGGGGGTACTGGGAGACCTCGACAGGGGTACCGGGTGTAGTAGGACACAGACTCGTCAAACCGGACGTCACGAGAGTCTAGGAACTGGTGGAGGGGCGGGTGGTAAAAGGACCAGTCGGCAGAGTCCACTGGGAAACCAAGGAAGACACAGGGGACGGCGCGTGCCGAGAGCTTGTCCGCAGAGGTGTCGCGAACAAGCGCAAGGCAGCCCCAGACTCGAAAGGCCGACCCGACACCAGGGGAACCAGTCCAAAGACTGGTCGGTGAAGCCTCGGGCCGCGAGACACGCGGCTGGAGGTTCAGCTGGTGTGCGGCGTAGCGAACCGCGTGAGGCCACAGAAAATGGGGCGCACGGGCATGGATCATGGACGTGCGGGCGATGTCCATGACCAAGCCTATGCGGCGCTCAGCAACCCCATTCTGCTGTGGGGACTCTGGCAGCGTCCAGGACTGGGTGATGCCCTGTTCGCCGCAGAATCCGCCGAGAATGCCGGAGCGAAACTCGCCCCCACGGTCGGAGTGGAGACAACTGACTCGACGACCACGAGTGCCCTCAGTGGCTAGAAGCCACCTGATCAGCGTAGCAGTCACCTCGGACTTCTTCGCAAGGGGGAACACTGTGGTGTACCTGGAGAAGTCGTCGACGACCACCAGAAAGTAACGCTCCCTTCCAGACCCCTGCGTCGGGGCAGGGCCCCAGACGTCCAAGTGGAGAGTCTCGAAGGGAGCGGTGGCCGGACGAAGGGAGGAGGAGTGGGGAGTGGCGCGTAAGCGACCGGCGACGCACGGAGAGCAAGGAGGGGCAGGCGAGAGAGGGAGCGACGGGAAGGTGCGTGGGAGACCTGAGACAAGTCCCTGACTGAGCATGCTACGTAGGCGAGGGAGCGACGGGTGGCCAAGGCGGTGGTGCCACAGGACGGTGCGGTGGGTGAGAGAGCGACAGGAGCACGACGCAGCGACGGGACTGGACACAGCGACCGGACCGGACACTACTG